AAAAAATTAAAGAAAATATTTACGTTGATAATGTGTGCATTGGAGTGGATTCGATCGAAGAAGGTAAACAACTTTATAACTCGGCCAAAAATATTTTTAAAGAGGCGTCGATGAATTTGCGGGAATGGTGCTCAAATTCGACGGAATTCGTTGCGGAAGAAGATCGTCTGTATGGCGAAAAAACAAAATTGCTGGGTCTCATTTGGGATAAAAAATCAGACGTTTTGAACATTAAAGAAACAAAAGTTGAAGTCGAAGGGGTCCTTACAAAAAGAAAAATGTTATGCAATATTGCGAGCCACTTCGACCCACTCGGCTTAATTTCGCCCATCATCCAGCGTGCAAAATCGATGATTCAAAAATTGTGGAAATTGAATTTGGATTGGGATGTTCCTGTTCCAAAAGATGTGGAAAGCGAGTGGAAAGAACTGGAAAAAGATTTAAAAAACATCTCAGAAATATCGGTAAGCAGGTTTATCGGCATTAAAAATAGTTTAGGAAATGAAGCGGTGGTCACAGAACTCCATTGCTTCTGTGATTCATCGGCGACAGCGTACGCAGCGTGTGTCTACATGCGAGTGGAACAGAACAGAGAAATTACGACGAATTTATCATTCACGAAAACTCGATTAGCACCAATAAAGACTCTTACGATTCCGCGTTTAGAACTGATGCCGGCCTTAATTGGAGTTCGAATTCTGAAATTCGTCGAAAAAGAATTAAAGATCAAAATCGTTAAAAAATATATTTGGTGCGACTCAAAATGCGTACTGTATTGGATCGCAAACAAACGTTTAAAGTCAGCTTTTGTCGAAAATCGATTAAAAGAAATTCGACTTTGCGAGAATACAGAATTTCGTTATGTCTCAACGACGGAAAATCCGGCTGATTTACCGACGCGTGGTATGTCAACTCTAGAGTTGAAAACATCGAATTTGTGGTGGAATGGTCCAGAGTGGTTACATCAAGGAAAAGATCAGTGGCCGGACAAATTGGTATCGTCCGCCGACGAAATTAAATTCGAAGAAATTGAAAACAGAAAAACGGCAACACTGACAATGGTTACGGTCGCGGACAATTGCACTTTTGGATCGATCATCAAAAAATATTCAACCTTAACAAAATCATTGCGAGTGATAGCTTACATCCTTCGAGCAAAAAAGATCTTCGAAAAAATCGACACTAGAAAAGGAACTTTGTCGGTCGAAGAATTAAACGAAGCTCAAAAATTATTGGACAAGTTGGTTCAAGGAAAATATTACAGCGAAGAAAAGAGATTGATTAACCAGGGTCAGTCGAACGGTTTAATCAAGCATTTACGATTATTCATCGACGATGAAGGGTTGATACGATGTAACGGACGTTTAAAAAACTCGGAATTATCGGAAGGGGCAAAAACGCCGATTTTGCTCCCTAAAAGAGATCGGTACGTAGAATTGATTATTGAAAATATTCATAAAAAATTATTGCACTCGGGTTCAAGACATATTTTATCCGAATTGCGTCAAAATTATTAGTTACCGACGGGTCGTCGAATTATTGAATCGATAATAAAAAAATGTTGGGCATGCAAAAAATGGGAAGGTGGTCCGTTTCAACCGCCAGTTCCGCCAGCACTGCCGAAAGAACGTTTATTGGAAGCGCCGGCATTCACGTATGTGGGTGTGGATTATTTGGGTCCATTAATTATCAAAGACGGCGATAACGAACAGAAAAAAGTTTGTATTTGCTTGTTTACATGCGCTGTTATTCGGGCGGTGCATTTGGAGCTCGTTCCTGATATGACGACAAATGGATTCATTGAAGCTTTTCGTTGATTCATGGCTCGACGTGGGAAACCGAAGGTTATTATTTCGGATAATGGAAAACAATTTCATTTGGCAAATACAACGATTCTAAAAATTTGATCGAACCTATTATTTGATTCATCGATTCAAAATTACATTGCAAATGAAGGAATTATTTGGAAATTTATTGTCCAATTGGCGCCGTGGATGGGTGGCTTCTACGAACGGCTGGTCGGATTAGTGAAAAGAAATTTAAGGAAAACAATAGACAGTCATCTTCTTACATATCGACAGTTGGAAACGGTGGTCATCGAAGTCGAATCGGTCATCAATTCGAGACCGCTCGGATTTGTTGGCTCGACATTGGATGATGGAATTACATTAACACCAGCATTATGTCTGGGTATCGATCATCGGACTGGGTTTCCAGAAATCGATATTGACGAGGACGATGCAGATTTTAAATTAAAAGAAGATTCGTCAGAAACATTACTGACAAAACTCAAGAAAGATCAGAAAGTATTAGATATTTTTTGGAAAACATTTCGAGATGATTATCTACTTAGTTTTCGAGAAAGAAAAAATGAAAACAAAATTCGAGGTGCAGCTTGCGATGTACCCCAAGTTGATCAAGCAGTTCTGATCAAAGAAAATTTGCCTAGAGGATTGTGGAAAATTGGTTTGGTTCAACGTATATTGCCTGGACCGGACGGCGAAGTGCGGTCGGCGGTAGTGCGCACGTCGAAGGGCAAACAATTTAACCGATCGATAAAACTACTGTATCCCTTAGAATGTATCAACAAAGAAGAAAAAATTGTTGAAAAGGTAACAGATATTAACAATGGCGAAGAAGAAGAAAAAGAACAAATAAATTTAAAATCGCAACGTGGAGCGGCCGATCGAGCCAGAAAAGCTACTTCCGAACTTTTTCGCCGGGAGTGTCGCGCCCAGCGCGATTTTGATAACTAAAAGTATTAAAATAAAGAGAGAGAGAACTTTGAAACATTTTTTATGTATGTACACATTCCAGCGCTTTATACAAGTTTTTTTTTACATTTCATAGAAG